TGAACCCTGGTTCCAGGGTCGAGTCTCGTCACATGTCGTCGAATGGTTATCACAACGTCAGCGACAGTGGAGACAGTCCATGTCCCCAGCAGCGGCTGTCATCGTCTGGCGGTGAAGCAGAGGTCTATGGGCCGTTTATTTATGGCGTAGTTCCCCCATTGAAGCACATGAAACACACCGGGGGAAGCGCTGTTCAGGCGGAGTACTGTTGCGTATTCCTGGGCAGCGCCGGTCGGTAATGCGCGTTCAAATGCGCTTACAAAGTAACACATTTTAGGTACATTTAATGTGCATTGCCGCATTAAATGCGATCTTAATTCGCATGATGCACGCACATTAAACGCGTATAAAAGCGTTATCTTTTTTGCGCATTTTAATGCGCACTGCCGCGGGATGGCAAGTACGCAGCTCCACTCGGGTTACGCGCATTGAAATGTGTGTGTGTGTGTGTGTGTGTGAAGTGACACATTTTAGGTACATTTAATGTGCATTGCCGCATTAAATGCGTACTTACTGCGTAATGCATATTAAATGCATAAAAAGTGTATTTTTTTGCACATTAAAATGCGCATATTGCCGTATTTACAGCACATTAATTGCATGGGCTCTACTACAGGTAGTTCCATCGGAAAAGTGTAACTAAAGTGGCAATTATAAGCCCTGCTAAGGTGGCGTGCATTTAGGTGGGTTACGTTGGCGCTACTGGATGTGTTTTGTTTACGTCGTCTGCTGGGCTGTTTGCCTCTGCCTTGCCTCTGAAGGTTTCGGTAAATTTATTAATACCGTTAATTTCGTCAGATCACACCAACTTAGCTTTATATCGCGATGGTGAGAACGTGCTGTGCAATTGGGTGCGATGGAGTGGCTACCCATCGTTTTCCAATCGACCCTAAAAGACGTGCACTGTGGGAAGCAGCGTTGAATCGTGATGGAGGCGGATATGTTGTGAAGAAAGTTCTTTCCCTGTGTGGAGCTCACTTCCAACCTGAAGATTTTATTTCTGAATCTTTTACTACTGGTGAGATTTAAATTCTGAGGGCATTGGGTGACTACGAAAGGATTGTATCATTTTAATTTTATACCATTTCAGGTCTTGCGCTTACTCGCAAATTTCTCAAGAAAACAGCAGTTCCATCTATATTTAGAAGAACCGTGGCATCAGTAGTTAAACCCATGACTAAATCTGTACTGGAAATGCCAAAGCATGTCTTGGAAGCAACAAAAAATGGAAACAGTAATTCACAAATGCAGGTTACAAACAATCGGAAGAAGCTGTTAACTCACGTAACTGTAGGAACTCAGAAAGACTTTCGTTTCTTTGCTATTGAAAACTTCAGGGGGAATCCTGAAGCAGTTTTTTTTTACACTGGACTAGGATCTTATGCCAAATTTAAAACAATATTTCATAGCCTTTGCCCCCCATCAGATTTAATTCAGTATTATCCTAATGAAGTTTTGGATTTTTCGATACCAATAGAAGATCAGCTCTTTCTAGCAATCATTAAATTGAAGAGAAATAAGGAAAATTACGAACTTGGGTTACTGTTTGGAATAGATGCATTAGATGTTCAGAAACTATTTGTCGTATGGGTAAATTTCATGCATCGAGTTTGGAGCAAATGCATTGAATGGCCAAAAATTACATTGGTAGACTTTTATCTCAAGAAATTATACACTTCCCCTAGAGTTATTGTCAATGTGCCTCTTGATAAAAGAAACCAAGTTTCACCAGAGAAGAAAAGTACAAGTAGATGCACCAAGATTTCTGAGCAAAATCAAGGCAATTCCTCCAGCCCACAAAATATTAGTCATAACCAAAGAGTAAGTGTCCAAACCTTGCTATCAAGTAAAATTGTTGCAAACAACATTTCTTCTCTGTTTACCACTCATAGAAAGCGCAATAATATCACAGTGCTTCAAGATGGCAAGCAAGATTCCAATGCTGTTCATATGGAGAGTGTTATCCGACTAACCAAAAGTTATTCTATCCTTCAAACATCTCTTCAGCACTATGAAATTTCGCTTTGTAAGAAAATATATGGTGTGTGCCATGTATTATTTGAGAAATGTCAGAGCCAGA